ATGTGTATAAGAGACAGATGTAGGGACGTTTAATATATATTCTTAAAATTCTGCCTTTGAAAATATGTCAAGCCCACCAAGCCCGAAGCTTAATGCTGGTGGTTTACAGTGTTTTTAGATATTTAGGAAGCCTAAGATATGGTGTAAAATTCAATGAGGAAAAAAAATCTGTATTTGTAATCTTTTAACTTGGAAATTTTGGTTTGGGTCCCTGGAAACCAGGGACAGTCGTCAGCGAGTGGGACTTAATTAGACACATTACTGAGAGAAACAAACTCTCATTGTAATAATAACATTAATCGATAATCATCAAACTAATCATTTGAACTTAATTAAACTAAACTAAAACTAAATATTTGTTAATAATTTTTGTGGTACGTTTGCATTTGTTTTGGTATTTCTTCTCTGTTGTTAAGCGCCTCGAGGTTGTGTCAACGTGAGGCGCTATATAAATCCAGAATGATTATTATTATTATTATTTTTATTATTTAATATTATTTATTATTATTATTATTATTATTATTATTTGAGATGGTTATCCGAGGCCGGAGTCCAACGACTTAACCAACGCTAGCCATTTGAACTGGGGACTAGGCGGCACAAGAGGCAGAAACAATACATCTCAGCCAATTGCTATGACATATGTATATGATGGAAAAACTATTTTACTACTGGCAATTAAATAGTTTATTATTCATAATAACACAGGTCATATTGTTTGCATTCTAGAAAACCATCAATACGATCTCCAACCAAATTTCCCAGAGATGACTCTTCGGATGGAAATGATGGCAGAAATAGCATCTCGTCTAAAACATAAATCTAAATGGAGGAATTTTGCAGTAAACCATCTTCATATCACTAGTGATGTCTGCGATGATCTGGAAAAAGAGGAACCATATTGTGAGCGCGTGTGTGCCGTACTTCGTAAATGGTTAATGAGGGAAGGCCAGAAAGGGACAGTTGGTAGACTGGCCAATCATTTGAAAGATTTTCGTCAGTTTGACCCTTTAGGGTATAAGTACTTATGTGAACTTTCACCAAATTCATAGCTTGTACTACGTACCTTTATTTTAATGTACTTGAATTAACAAATGGTTTTTTTTTAATACAGTTGTTATAACCAGCCACTACTGTCTGTAATATAATATGAAAAAAAGTCAAAACCCTGCAAAAATGAATTTCAAAATTGAATTGTTTATTAAAAAATGAAACAGATTTTTTTTTTTTAATGGACCCTTCCAGAAGCGACATTCAAACTTAACGGACCAATCGGAACAGAGCAAGGTATACGAGATTGTCTATCAACCACACGTGTTGTCTCACAATCGCACATGTTTTTGAGTGTGTTTTTAAAGGGGTGGGGCTAAGCGGAGAGGCCCATTCAGTTTTCACTGATTTGATTTTTTTGAATAAAATCTTTATCTTGATGACCAACCAATTTAAGGACTAATGTAATTACTATAATATATTACTTATGCCTTTTAAGTGGTTAAAATTGTTTTTAATTCTATTTTAAAAATTGAAAGCTAACATTTGTTACATAATAGAGAGCTCTGGATTAGTACGACGACGCTACACTAGAACAAAATTACTCAGGCGTGACCGTCCTACCAGGCTTCCTACGTTCTCTGCATACGACGTAGATTTGGCCAAATTGCGTCGTAGAATCCATGCAACGATGAGAGCTTAACGTTGACGCATGCGCAGATGACTTTTAGTGACGTCATTACGTTCTACGTCCTATCGTCTTCGTGCAATCGAAAGCACCCTAGTATACAAAGTAGGAAATCGAAATTTTGAAGTAAATTTTAAGTTTTTTTAGCTCATGACAGAGTTGTTCAATCTTTAATGTACATTAGTTAGGAAATTCCTGTTTTCACTGCCAGGTTTTGTATTTATGTATGTGTATGGAAATATTGATAATCAATTATAATTAACTTGTTAACCATAATAAATAATTAACAGCACAATTGTAGCACAGATCGTTCTTTGGTACAAAACAGACTATACAGGGCGAGTTTCATTCGATGCTTCAGTCTAGTCTCAGGGGGCGCAAAACAGACTGCAGCGCGAGTTTTATTAGATGCTTCAAGTCTAGTCTCAGAGGTAGCGATCTTACTGTTCAACTTAAACACTTGCACCTACCCTGAAAAAAAAAATCTTTAACAACAACTTTTACTTATATATGTAAACCTTAATCTCGTTCTATCTGTACAAAATGGGTGCCATGAATTTTTAGTGTTTTGCATTCATAGTTATTATAGTAAAGCACGATTTTTCAGTTCTTGGAAATCACAGCGTCGCCGTACTAATTTCGTGGTCAAGCGTAAGTTACCTTAGCGCGCCGTACTAGCTCTAAAATGCCATCATAATAGAGCACAACATTTTCAGAATGTTAACAAAATTGTGCTCTATCACAGCATCGTCCTGTGAGCGTCTTGTGCATTCGTACACATTCGTAGTGACCCGAAAATGTATCCTGTATACGAGGTTTAACGGGTTCCATTTATTAAACAATTCGTTGCTCACACGGAGAATGTTTTTGTAACCTCCAGATTCTTTTATTCTACTAGATGTTTGTACTGACCAAAAAGTGGACGGCACGAGCGACGGCCTTACACATCTCTCTTTTTTATGTTTTCGACGTCTAAAGTAACCCCTACCTTTGATAATCAAAGCTGTAGCGGCCAACAATTTTATATCTTTTAAAGCAGTATCTTACATATTTTGCAGAGCATGGTGAAACATCATCAACTATGACAACATTAAAATATTTGTATTGTACGCCTTATTTGTTTAGACGCTTGCATAACGCATCGTTTTCAATGACGATATTCAAACGGACACCGGCAATCAACAGACGGTGTTGCGTCGCCTAGAGCTCACGGGGAGCGGAGTTAGATTCGTCGTACGACTGTTGTAGGCCTACGACTCAGTGAGTGTCCGGCTTAATTAACACATATTTATAGTACCATTTTCAGTGACTGGCGTAATTTTTGATGGATTTATCTATTATACAATAACTTCAAAATACGAAGACCCAGCTTCTCTTCATTTGATACTGTATCATTATATATTATATATATATTATATATATGCATGCATACAATAAACGTATAGGTATATAAATATATAAATCATCAAAGAAAGGTAAAGATATATAAACATACATATATATATATATACATATACATATATATATGTATATATAGCCGTTAACACTGTTATATATCAATCATATTCAATTCTAATTTATTTGAGCAAAGGTCAATACAGAACATACAACATAACAATGAAATTAACAATGAAAAAAAGAAAATAATTGAAAAAAAAAAGATAGTAAAATATATTTAATTTAATAAAACATTTACAGGTCAGGATAACCTAATAAAACGTAAACGTTTTATTTCCGTTGGGGTCCCATAATTAAAAAGTATTACATAAAAGTTCGTCAAAAATTTAAACAAACATTAAAATTCAATAAAAACCTCTAAAATTAAAAATAAAGTAAAACTAATTAGACAAGAAAAACACTTTAACCTTAAAAGCAAGTAAAAGTGAATGTAAAAAGGCAGTTAAGAAACGTCATCATTAAAGGAAAGATAATACAGTGTTCGAATAAAGGACATTGTCCTTTATTCGAACAGGCCTGTATATGTATATTTAGGATTATTACATGTTCCTATTTGAGCACTCTTATTACATATCCTTTTGTATATATATATACTATATATATATATATATATATATATATATATAATGTATTAATATCTCAATTTTTTATAGGCCTATATATATATATATATATATATATATATATATATATATTCAATTCAAGTTGCAGCATAGCACTGTAAACAATACAAACAAATATATAGATACTTATAACAGTGCTCAAATAGGTACATGTAATAATCTTATCAAGCAAAACTCATCAAGGACATGTTCCTTTAACTCAGTTGTATAGAAAATAGTGTCTCTGACAGAATTTCAACATGGCGAGTATCATACCCATTAGACCAAATAGACCTATATGATATCGATATATATGAACTCTCTGAAACGCTCACATATATAGGAGCTGTAGTTAAGTTGCTGCGTAGCAGCAGAGTCGTATAAACAAGATAAATAATAACAGTCCTCAAATAAGTAAATGTTGTAATAATCGTATCACGCATAGCTCATCAACGACAAATTCCTTTATTTTAGTTGCATGCAAAATAACTGTCTTTGGTGGAATTCGAACCAGCAACCTGCCACTGTCAAGGCCAGTATCATACCCATTAAATCATAAGTATTAATATAGAACGTGATAACATTCTTTGCGTATAATAAATTACAATTATCTAATCATTAGCGATAGCGGCAGTTTGGCGCAGCGGTTGACGTTTGGGTTTTCAATCGTAAGGTCAGAGTTTCAAGTCTCCGCTGTGCAGATTCGCTTGTGTCCCTGGGTAAGGCACTTTACTTTATTTTAGTTTACTTTACTTTTTCTACATTCCTTCAGTCCACCCAGCTGTATCAATGGGTACCAGAAAACTCCTGAGGACTATAGCCTGCGACGGACTAGTGTCTCGTCCGGGGGGAGTGCAACTCTCATCCGCTCCACACTACAGAAACTGGGGACAAGCTCCAGGCCTATGGGCCCCAGTGGTTCGGAAAGGATTTAGTAATCATTAGCTTATAATAGAATTTTAATTGTCGCTACACTAAAATAATGTAGAATCAGAGAAGTATTTGAGTATATGCCCTAACTGGAGAGAACAATTTTAGCTGAAACAGTTGCAAAAACAATATTTTGGAAAGAAAATAGGAAACTCATGAGAACCAATGTATCTCAACCAACATTTTATTATTGTCTCTGAAACAATACGATTGATATCAATTTACGTTGAAACTAAATACAACTAGATTTATACAGACATTTTATGCTACTGTTAATAAAGAATCATAAAACTTACCACATGTAATTAAATCTACAACTAGTTTTCAAAAATATCATTTTATTAAAATGGTTAGTACAGTTGTCTTTACATAAAAAATGAGCTGCAGTAATGTTATACTTAATATTAATTTTGTCATAATGTACGGAAGTAAGCAGAACAGGTAGTATAACATTCACAGATAGAGTACAAGCATTTAGATGCACCACAACAATGATTTTTAAAAAATATTTTATAAGCATTATTTGTCCCATATAATTTCATACAGTAGGCCTATAATAATGGAACAATATATTTTAATGTAATTTAGTGGAACGGAATTGCATCCATTACACCCAAACATGTTCAATATTTGATTTACTTTACTTTACACGTCGACATTAAAAAAAAATAAAATGACATATAATATGAATTATAATATTTTTATTTAATTTAGTATGGTAGAACTACAAACACTGCTTGTTTATTAGTTACACTTGTTTATTAGTTATTTTAATGCCATTTCCATCACTACTGTAGAGTTGTATTTTATGTTCACTTGATATAATTATGTAGTTGTCGTCCTGATCTACTACTAATAATCCACATGGTTTAATCACCATTTCAATTGCATTACCTTCTTTGACAAGGATTTTCATAAACCGTCCCTCAATAGCAAATAGTTGTAATCTTTTTTTTCTTTTTTGCCATACTAAAACAATTCTTTGATTAGTAAAGGTAACATCAGCAACTACATTGAGTTGACCTTCTTTATTTCCAAGTGTCTATGCTCCTGATTTTCTGGCTACTGTCAATGTTGATTAGCAACAAACATAAACTAATTTCTACATACATACTAGTTATTCTTCATCCAATGTCGGTAAAACTCTCCTTTAGTAAATGATTTGTTCAGCTGACCAATCGTATTACATATTTTGATGCATTTATTACTACAACCACTGAATGTTTTGTTACCATTTTTCATGTTGTACATTCCACGATCTTACAAAACTTGTAGTAGTGTAATCTTACCAATATTATTCTCCTCATTGCTTGAGTAATGGAATACTTGAGTATTCCATTTGTTCCCCCTGAAATCAACAAGCAATCGTCTTTCCACTTAACTA